ATTGGCAGCCAATGCCTTAATCATAGAACTTATTTTATTATTTACTTAACTTACATATATTAATACTTTTATACTTATTATATAAAGCTGAGGAGCTACAGAGTAACGTCGCTGATCGCGTCGCAGGCTCAGATCTAACTGGTCTTTAATTAAGAATTAAGACATTCCATATCTTAATATTCGTAGATATTGAAATTGAAAAACTGTATAGAAATAGACACCGTCAAAGACGGAAGTCCTATTAGTGCATTGCCCTACTTTGCTTTGCTTTTGTGAATGTCTTTCGGGGTCATTCTCCAATTTGGCGTTTTTTACCTAATTACCGTAACCATTTTTATTTTTCGCTGATTTACTTTGAATTTTTTTTTGTAATTTTGTGTTCCACTGTTTATTTAAACATACAGATATATTACATTGTTTATAACTACATAAATATTTACAACTTAAAATTAACTACAACTAAACTATAAAATAAAATGAAAGTAAAAAAAAAAAGAATTTGAATTTGAATTCAATACAATAATAGTTGAACTTTAGGTGTGTAGGCTGTATGGACCAATGATTTACTGCACCGAAAACGTAAGGTGTGTTACGTGAGTATGACATGAAACAAGACATAGATATAAACTCAATAGGTAATGTGGCATGTAACTATTATTTGTGACACATAACATCACGTCTTTTTATCCCCGAATGGGTAAGGCAGAGGTGCACATTACGGCACTTAATGCCACTGTACAATATAACACCCATTTTTCACTATTTATGTTATGAGTCCCATGTAATAGGGGGTGAGCCTATTGCCATATACCGGACACAATTGCAGACACCGTGCTACTACTGAGAATTTTATTGAAACCCAATAATGCTTTGCCCGACCCGGGACCGAACCCGAGACCCCTTGCCCGGCAGTCACATTTGCGTATTAAGAAAGTACCTACTTGCATTTATTATATGTGTGTACAGTGTATGTATGTGAGCGCATCAAACAGTGTGACCTGAGTACACTGGCTCTATAAAATCAATACTCTATTACTATTGCATATCGCCAGCACTTTGAAACAAGAATTGAATAAGTAAAGTGCAGATACGTGTATATGCTCTTTAGAAGAAATTGATATTGGACCTTTAACCGTCTGCGGCTGACGTGTAGTCCCACAGACACCGCGAAATACAAAATCACGTGTTATACCGTCAATTTTCAAATACGAGCATCACTGCTGCGAGTACCTTACTGTATAGTGCTCGCTATACTTTAATTCTACAAAAATATTTGCTGTTGAAATGGTGTCTGGTATAATATACACCTCAGTTGAATTGTAACAATTTAACCACGTCAGTTGCAGAGGGTTAAGTTCGGTGACCGGTGTTAGGTGACAGTTACTGGTACATCCTTACTATAATATTATAAATCGGAAAGTGAGTTAGTTGTTTGTTTGTTCTGCTTTCACGCCGTAACTACTAAACCGATTGCTTTGATTTTTTGCAGACGTAAAGTTAGAAGTCCAGATTAAATAATAGGGTACTTTTTATCCCGGAAAAAATTGATATTTCCGAGGGAAAACGAAAGTATTGGTATAGATGGCGCTGTGTATATTGGTTTATGTCACATAGGCTACTTTTTATCCTTATGTGTCGCGAGCGAAGCCGCGGGTAAAAGCTAGTAAAAATAATAAATTGATGTCTGTTACGCTCCTAAAGATTAGACAGCGTAATACACTTATGCCTGTGTTATCCAACCACCCCTATACAGTCTCTTAACTAAAAGGTTTTTAGCGTGACGTAACACCCATATATCCCCCCAAGCGGTCACCGGTGACCGCTCTCCACTAACTACATTATAGTCCTTATTTCCAATGTTTAGAGACTACTTTTGTATGAACAAATTTAGGGGATGATTTTCAGTAACACTTTAGTTGTACAATTAGGTACCGATTACCTATAGGCTGGTGAAAAATATCGTTAAATGTCACTTAGCTTAACGGTTTCTTAGAATTTAGAACAGGTTGGTAAAAACGGATCTTATACTCTTATAGTTAAATCTTTTTTTTATGAGATAGCCGGTAAACGAGCAGACGGATCACCTGCTGGCAAGCTGTCGACGTCGCACATGGACACTTGAAACACCAGAGGCGTTACAAGTACGTTACTGGCTTTTTAGGGGATTGTTAGGGATTGGGGAGCTTAGGGAGGGGGGGGGGTAATTGGGCCTCCGGTAACCTCACTCACACGACGAATCATGACGCAATGGTTCACTCCGATTTTCTGCTCGGCCGTGGTATCACACCGGTCGAGCCGGCCCATTCGTGCCGAAGCATGGCTCTCCCACACTTAATCCCAAGTAATATAATATAAAAATATTAAACAAAACTTGTTTGTTTCTCAGTGCCACTTTATCTACTCAATCAATCTTAAATTTGGGTGTAAGTTGTTCTGTATATGTCATCGCAGAATGATTTTTGAATTTTGAATTACCTAAAGGTTATAATTGACATTATAAGGTAATAATTGACTTTGCGAATCACTTTATCTAATTGATTTTAATACGATATAATGTATTAAAATATGACCTCGTTCGTTGTCAAACTGACCAACCCTAAAACGTAGCCTCGACGCGGTTACAACTAATTTCAGTGCCTTGTTTCAGTTTGAAGCGGTTGAAACTGGTTCAGCGAGTGGAGTGTTAAGCCGGTCTAATGACGCGGTTAACCGTATTATGGCACAATTTTGTACTGTAATATTTGAAATGATTTTTACTTAAAAAATTGTGTACCTAATAAAGGATTTTCGTGCTTTTCATTTACCCTTTGAGATGAGTAAATAACTTCTTTAAGAGACCGAGGGAGAGACCACTAACCTTCAAAAGTTCTCTTTTCGGTTTTAAAAGATATAACTAAAAACTTCTGACTTTATTTACTTCCCAATTTATTGTAGAATTGACTCCCAGTCACATTCAGAAACTATTTGGATCTGGATATAGGTACTCGAAGGTCAAAAGAAAGAAATAAGTTCACAGTAAATAACCTAGCTTAGTAGGTACATATCAAAGTTTATCAACTAAATAAATAATATAACTTTCTAGATAGGTAATGATAGTTCGAATAAATTTCAACGAATTTCTAACAAAGTGCATTATGAAGGTAAACACGGAATGAAAATCACGCGATTCTAAAATTTATTATTGGTTCAAGTTATAGTTCGTTCTTATTACGTTCGTCTTTTCACAAATTTTTAATTGAACGATGAAATGCGCGAAATGGGGCACATTGAGCTCAGATGAGTTATAGTAAACTAAAAACATTGCCACATTGCACCAAAATGACCTTTATTTTTATGCCCAAAGTGTAGATTTTTTTTTTGGGATAAATCAGTAAACGAGCAGACGGCTCACCTGATGGTTAGCAATCGGCGTCGCCCATGGACACCTGGAACACCAGAGGCGTTACAAGTGCGTTACCGGCCTTTTGGAGATTAGGAATTTGAGGATTGTAAGAGATACAGGGATTGGGGAGATTGGGGAAGGGAGTGGGTAATTGGGCCTCCGATAACCACATTCATGCGACGAAACGCAACGCAAACGTTGCTTTACGTTGGTTTTCTGCTCGGCCGTGGTATCACTCTGGTCGAGCCGGCCCATTCGTGCCGAAGCATGGCTCTGCCACACTTATGAATATAACCCACTTAGGTAAGTGTCAACATACTGTAATGCACATACTCTGGGAGTGTGATCTCTGGCAATATGAACGTAACACTATGTTAAATAATTTAATTGTTTCGTCAGGTGTAGTTTATTAAACGGACCTTGTGGAATCTGCCGTTTTTGCCGTTTTTGCCATACCTATTATTGGAAGCAAGTATAACAGCTCACACATAGGACCCACTTAGTTTTTAGTCAAATTTCCGTGGTGCTTGGCGACTGGGCTTCACCCAGTTGTACAGTCTCTTCTTTGTGCCTTTAGGCTTAATTCATTCTGTCTCCTGCAGTAATTCACCGAGGGAAGTGAAAACCATAGTTTTTTCTTCTTCTCTTATAATATCTTCTGATTCACTTCGTTGCGGGAACCAACTCATGTCCCTGGGACGCGCCGGACTTCAGTGTTCCGGTGTTTTCATGGTTGTATCTACTGTAGATCCTGGCTTACAGGAGTTGCAGCGGTTGTGGGAGGTTGTGGCGGGCTTGTCCCATTAAAAAAAAAGTACTGTAATGCGCATTTTATATGTCCCATTAACTTCTTGTTCATTGTTTTTAAAGAAAAGTTTCCCAATAATCTACACCTTGGAATGAGCAAATAGCTTCACTTTTAATATTAATTTTATTTTGACGTTCAAAAGTGCCATTCTGGCCTAATTGAAATAAATGATTTTGACTTTGAATTTGACTTTGAATACCCTAACATGTTAATATTCAACCAAAGAGATAACGAATGTAATCATTTTCGATAAATGGCTATAATGTAGAAGAGTATAAGATCATGTTTGTCCAATCACTGGAGCTTTCAAAAATGTCCAATGGCATTAGCAAAAGCAAATATTCTATTGAATAAGAAGAGACCTCAGTCCCTACTAGCGTTTTGCAAAAGTACTTATATAGGCGTTAGTCATTCCGTACGTCACACATCGTCCAAAATAAACCAACTTAAACTTAGAAAAGCCTTGAATTGGCCTGTTATTAGCTACCTAAAGAAATACTAAGCACTAATCAGTAATCACCTTAAAACTACTAACCTAACAAAATAATTAATTGGATTGCCCAATGAAACTATAGTTTTCGTTTGTAGCTTCACTTGACTCACTCGTGGTAATTATAAAATTTTCAAAAAACTACTCTATTTTACCTATAAGTACCTGTAAGTTTAGTAGTTTTTGATGAAGTTGAGTAGCTTTTGGTGAAGATAATCGCAGACAAACTATACATAGATATATAATTATACTAAACTTCTGTTTATATCCAAAAATGTTAGGTAAAAAAGAGGTAGGTACTAGAATAGAAGTAGACTTACCTCCTCCATTCTGCTGGCATAGATACGGGAACCGCCAAATATTTCCAAGTCCAACGGAGTATCCGATGATGGATAAGAAGAACTGTAGCTTGCCTGACCAGGCTGCACGATCTTCATCAGGAGCTTCTCTTTGTAGGGATCCCCTTGAGCCCTGGAGTACGATGGTAACTCCATGAGGTCGCTCACTGCCGTCAGCGCGAGCATTTAAAGGCGCCAACTCATGACCATTTCTCGGCCCAATCGCTTCAGCCTTTCCCGCCATTTTAACTGTCAAATCGCTTGTCAAATATATGTTATTTTTAGTAGTTAACTTTTTACTTTATTTAGTTTTTAATTTAGAATCGATTCGAAATTCTTCTACTTAAAATTATTATTATTAATTGATTTATACTTCGACACTTCGACTTTTAAATTATTGTCTTTTAATGTTTAAGTTTAACAAGATTATTAGAATGATTCCCTATGAATATGTTCATAATACGCTATTGATGTATTTCGTAATCGTATGTGAAGTATCGTATTGCGTCCTTTTTGACGAATTCGACTACTTTAAAGTACGTTGTGGTTCTTTGTAGTAATTTTTGCCGTAATTTTAATGAATCTCTGAACACGTTGTATGTTTCTCTGTGCATATGAGAAGGATTGTAGCGACGTTAATGTGAAAACAGCATCGTTTTGAACTCCTCTGGTGTTTTGAAGATCAAAGTGCTATTTTAATTTAGACATTTTTTTTAGGGAACTGAAATTTGAAGTATTCCGGGCGTCTGTAACAAAAGAAAAGTTTTTTTTATTAATTTCGTTATTTGCGGAAAGGAGATTTGTGTTTGCAAATGTTACCTACTAAAAGCAGTTAGGTAAGTATGCCCAATGCAATGCTTTGTTTCGATTTCAATCGATTCGTGATTTTATCAAGAACGCTGTTATTCCAGATAACATAATTAATTCCAATACATACTGCCTGAACATACGGAAATATATTTTTTACGAAACAGTTAAAGTAATGGTAAAACATAAATGATATAATATACAATACTCCATTTATTTCCCGCCATGAACATTTCATGTCGCGATTTCGTTCATAGAATAGACTAACAAAATTAGACGTCACTCGGTGACAAATGTAACAGTTTGACAATCAAGGCTGTACGATTTAATGTCCTTTGCCTACTGCTACAGAATTTTAACGATCGGATCCGCGTGACGCATTTCTTTTACTCTATGACTTTTATAAGGTATTTGAGGTATTTTCTATATTTATATATAAAAAAGTACTAGGTAATTTGATATTAACATTCTATAAGAGGATGTTCGTTCTCAGTTTAAGATTTATAATACTGCCCTATTATGAGTACCTACTAAATGCGTACATATTTAATTTTCTACTTTTTAATTGCGGAAGGGTAAAGGTACAAACATATTTATATATCATCATTAACATCCTATAAGTTCCCATTACTGAGCAAAGGCCTCGTCTCACGCGAGGAGGGTTTGAGCAAAAATAGGTGCAGTGTATCTGAACTGAACCATAGATAAAATAAAAGAATACACCATTACACAAGAATTTTAACACACATTTACTAAAGTACCAAAACAGTAAAGTAAATAAAACTAATCACTTTGGAAATACAACGATCAAAACAAACACTCCTACCGATCATTTTCGAGATTACAATCGGGACGTTTTAACAAAAGTGTGAAATCTTAAAATCCCGATATCGTGCCAGTAATGGCGGCCGCGGGATTTGTTGGAAACGTGAGAAATTGATGTAGATCGGCCTTACTGTGTTTGTGTGAACAAATGCCATGGAAGACTGGTTAAGTGGTGAAGATTTTGCGGTTTTTTCCGTTCGTGTTTAAATATAGAAAGGAAATAAATAATTCGATTTGTATGCTTTTACTGCATATTTGTGCTGTACTTATATTCCAAGTTATTAACTATAACCTACACTCAAGTATTTTTATATAGTCTACTAGCGACCCGCCCCGGCTTCGCACGGGTGCAATATGCATGTATTATACATATAAACCTTCTTTAAGAATCACTCTATTTGTTAAAAAAACCGCATCAACATCCGTTGCGTAGTTTTAGAGATCTAAGCATACATAGGGACAGACAGAGTGTGGATAGCTACTTTGTTTTATACTATGTAGTGATGATTAAGGGTCCCGGTTTGATCTGAAATTAGTCGACCTTTTGTCCAACAGTTTCCATAAGGCTACAAAGACAGTTTGAATAAAGGAAGATTTCTTCTAAATCCTTGCAGCTGTTTCAAGATACGCGAAATACATTTTACCTTTAACACACGCATAAGGGCTTGCTTTTTTAATTTTTTAAGGTGCAAAGATGTTCATGTCGTGTTGGCCCGGTTGGATGCGGCTTCGAAACCTACCAACGGCAAGTACCAATGTGACTTTTTCCGAGTTATAATGTATCTACTTTCTAACATCTAGACACCATTGACAAATGGTGAAGGAAAACGTCGTGAGGAAACCTGGGCTTATAATTTCTAATTATAAGTTTGAAACCGCCAACCCGCATTGAGCAAGCGAGCGTGGTGATTCATGCTCAAACGTCCTCCGTGTGAGAAAAGAGGCTTTGCTCAGCAGTGGGCATATCATATCATAGCCATGCTCAACTCACTTTTCACTATAATTATTATACACAGAAAATATGTTGTAATACTTAAAAACAGTACATAACGATTCAATCTAAATTAAAATAACACACACCCAATCCCACACTTCAACACTAACATACATAAATCATAAATTCGCAATAACTGCACTCACATTCACAATCCGCCGCGTACCGGTTCGATCTGCTTTGATCCGGTAACAGTCGGATTCGAAGTATGTCAAGGTCTTACAGGGGATTTACCCTCCGTTTCTAAGATGGGGGAGACTAAAAAAGGGGTAGCCTTAAAAGAGACGAATTTGTATGGTGATATGTGTGTGTGTAATAATGTGTTTGTGTGTGTGTTATTTTGCAAAAGGATCGTGTTTTGGTGAGAATTGATGGTTTTATGTTGACTAGCTTCTGTCAGTGGTTTCGCTCGCTTTACTGGTATAAATAGGGGCCTATGTAATGCCGACAGTTCGATTTAAGTGTGGTTTTTCGAAAACTTTTCATTAATAGCACGTGTTGTATTTATATTGTAACTACTACTATATCGTAACTATACATGTGTTTGTGACGCGCGCCGCATCCCCCCACCTCAGTTCAGTCGCAAATAAACAGTCTTCAAGCAAACACGCATTTTAATTCATATAATTCCTGCTAAGCAAATAGTAACCTTAATACCATAAACATAGTGGTCACAATCGAGCCGAATCTGCGAACCCACCTACTTAGTGAAAACAAGTTATCGAAGCCACCGGCCGGCCGACGAGAACAATAGCATTCCAAGACTCATTAGTGAATGAATAGAAAAAAATAAAAAGGTGCAATGAGTGCTAACGAGCTTATTAACGTTTTAGAAGACACGGCTACATTATTACAGAAAACGCAAGTAAATATTAAGAAATGCCCTAAAACCAGATTGACAAAAGGTTACGTTGAAGCAAGAATCAAATGTATAGAAGAATATTGGACAACGTTCAGAGAAACTCATCAACAATTAGTCAAGATAACATCGAAAGAACAAAAACAAAAGTTAAATTACTTCGTTAACGAGGATTTCTACAGTTATGAAGACTTGTATCTTATGTTATTAGCCGATTTACAAGACCTTTTGTCGACGTTAAATGCACCGTTACCCGCATCATCGAAAAATAATTCATCAACTAATACGAATAATGATCAACTCGTTAGGCTGCCTAGGATACAATTACCAAGTTTTAGTGGGAATTATGAAGATTGGACGACCTTTCAAGACCTATTTATTTCATTAGTTCATGAAAACACGGCGATTAGTGATGTGCAGAAGTTACATTATTTGAAAAGTATTGTCACTGGAGAGGCCGAGCTGTTATTGAAGCCTATTCAAATAACTCAAAGTAATTATGAACAAGCATGGACTGTTCTCAAATCAAGGTACGATAATAAAAGATTGATTATTAATTCAGTGTTAAAGAAATTGTTTTCGCAAAGGAAAATAAATACACAATCTGCAAATCAAATAAAGAGTTTATTAGACGTTACAACGGATTGTTTAAACAACTTACAAAACTTAAATATAAATACGAACTCATGGGATCCTATCATTATTTTTATTTTGATTCAGAAAATGGACCCAGAGACTCACAAAGAGTGGGAACAAACTGTTTGTACAAATGAAGCTGATAAATTACCTACCTGGGATGATTTAAAGCAGTTCTTGCAATCAAGATATCGTACCTTAGAACTTGTAATGTCAACATCGGGCCTCCGTGAAAAACCTATCAAAGAACGTTCACACCTCGTAACTGCTACAGCTGCAACTTCACCATTGTCAGTTAATAGAAAATGCGTGTTATGTAAAGAAAGTCATACCTTATGCCACTGTAAGGAATTCACCAAACTGCAACCTGCTGAGAGATCTGAGTATGTGAAATCAAACAACATTTGCTTTAATTGTTTGGCAGCTGGTCATTCCGCATATCAATGTAAATTGCGAATGTCATGTCGTATATGCAGCCGACGTCATCACACTCTACTACACCGACCTAAGGATGCTGCTTCTTCGGTACAATCTGAGGACTCTAAACAACCGAGAGCAATACAGCACGGCGTAGAAGAGAAAGAGGAACTAGTCAACACTACGATTGCGTCGCATCACAGTACCAAACAAAGCACAAGTGTAGCACTACTGGCCACGGCAACAGTTTTAGCAAGGAACGACCATAATCACACTGTTGTTTTACGTGCACTAGTAGACCAAGGTTCGCAGGCATCATTCATTAGCGAGAAGGCGACACAACTACTCAAGTTAACCAGGCATACAGCAAGAGGAAGTATCATTGGTGTGGGATCTACAAGAACCAACGTTGATCACGTGGTACAACTAAGGATTGGGTCTCGATGGAATCCAAGCTACGAGATTAACGTTCAAGCATACGTTATGAGTAAACAGTTAACCACGAAGATCCCCTCCAAGGCTGTCACTGTCACACATTGGCCACATCTAGAGGGACTCAACTTGGCGGACCCAGAGTATCATAAACGCGGTCCAATAGACTTGCTTCTAGGTGTCAAAGAGTATGCGCAAATCGTGCAACAACAATTAATCAAGGGTCCTCCTGGTTCTCCATGTGCTCAAGAAACCAACCTGGGATGGATTCTTTTTGGAGAAATCAATACCAATGTTACAGAAGAAAGCTTTCTGGTCCTTCATCAGCAAATAGAAGTAGATAACATGTTAAAATCACTTTGGGAAATAGACACTGGAAAGAAAAGAATATTAACAAGAGAAGAAAAGCTATGTGAAACAATATATGTAAACACTCATGCAAGAACAGAAGAAGGAAGATATGTAGTAAGCTTACCCTTTAAAACTGAAAATCCCTTATGTCTAAATGGAAATACGAAGGAAATAGCAAGAAAGAGACTACTACAGCTTGAAAGAAGATTTAGAAAGGAGCCTTCACTAAAAGAAAACTACCAAAAGGCCATGCAAGAATATATAAAATCAAACTATATGGAAAAAATACCTGAAAATGAAAGTAATAAAAACAAAGCTGTGTACTTACCTCATCACGCAGTAATCCGCACCGACAAAGAAACCTCGAAGACGCGCGTCGTGTTTGATGCTTCAGCCAAAGGGTCGAATGACGTTTCGCTCAACGATGAACTGCTTGTAGGTCCGCAACTGCAAGACGACCTTAGAGATATTGTTATGCGGTCGAGATTACATCGCGTCTGCTATGCCAGCGATATCCAGAAGATGTTCCTTCAAGTCTTATTACATAAAGAAGATGCCGATACTTACCAACGCCTTCTATGGAGAGAAGAAGAGTCAGATCCAATCAACGAATACCGTATGCTTCGTGTTACTTTTGGTACAGCTTCAGCACCCTATTTAGCAGTAAGAACGCTTCATCAAGTGGCTGACGATGAAGGTGGGAATCACCCAGAGGCTGTACGAGTAATCAAATCAGATCTTTACATGGATGATTTGATCTCCGGCGAGGACACGGCAGAACAGGCTATACAGGCAGCGCAAAAAATTTCATCTATACTGCAAAGGGGTGGCTTCATATTATCAAAATGGTCTTCAAATTCTAAGGACTTTATGCAATTCATAGATGCAAATAAGAGATCAACGCGAGTACAATTAGATTTAAAACTAGATGGAACTGTACAAGCCCTGGGATTGATCTGGAATCTAGGAACAGATCAATTTCAGTATAAAATAGACTTACCTCCAGTTTCAGACAAAATTACAAAAAGAACAATCTTATCAGACATGCAGAAACTGTTCGACCCGCTGGGATGGATCGCTCCAAGTGTAATCTTGGCTAAAATATTGATACAAAAATTATGGATGGAAAAGACTGGCTGGGATGACAAAATAAGCCAAACCCTGATCGACGAGTGGTTGACTATTCGTAAGGACTTTGAAGAAGTTAAAAACATATATATTGATCGATGGCTTGGCACATTTAGCAATGAGGTAGACAAGATAGAAATTCATGGCTTTAGCGACGCCTCCACGCGAGCATACGCTGCAGTGGTTTATGTCAGAATAAAGAGGCAGGATGGCTCGGTGTCGACAAAACTGCAAGCAGCAAAGACTAGAGTGGCACCGCTGCGTACTGTGTCCCTACCACGGTTAGAGCTGTGTGGGGCGCTGTTGTTGTCGAGATTGCTTAAGCAAATACAACAAGCCCTGCGAATACCTACCTCAAACGTCTATGCATGGACAGATTCAACCATTGTCCTTGCATGGTTATCAGGCGATCCACACAATTGGAAGACGTTTGTAGCAAACCGGGTTGTAGAGATAGCTGAAAATGTAGACAATAACCGGTGGTTCCATGTCTCATCTGAAGATAATCCAGCAGACATTGGGTCACGTGGTATGCTACTAGTTGACCTGGAAAAGTCTGACTTGTGGTGGAAGGGTCCAACTTGGCTCTCTGAAACAGAAATAATATTAAAACAAGAATGTGCATCTACTGATTTAGAAAGAAAACCGGACAAAATACAAGCAAATTTAAAAATAGATATTGAGGAAGGCCTGACGTCACAATTTAAAGAATATACTAATTTACAAGAATTGATAAAAGCGATAACATATTGTATAAGATTTTTAAAATTTAAAAGAAATCTGGAAAACATGGAAAAGGATTTTACTACAAAGGAATTAGAAAGAGCACTCATGAAATGCATAGTATTAGTACAACAAGAAGAATTCAAAGATGATATAGAGAGATTAAAATCAAATAAAGCATTAAAAAAGGAAAGTAAAATTAAAACCTTGAATCCTTACCTTGACGGAGCTGGTATCCTCAGGGTGGGCGGTCGACTTCGTAACGCGAACTTGGATGAGCAGATTAAACATCCTATTGTATTAGGAAACAAGAACGATTTGGTGACCTTGATTATCGCTGATGCACATGCTAGAACATTGCATGGTGGTGTTCAACTCATGTTGAGTTATCTAAGCTCAAGGTATTGGATTATACGCGGCAAGACACTCATAAAATCGTGCATTCACAAGTGTCTTATATGTGCCAGACTTAGAGCAAAATCAAGAACACAGATAATGGGTGACCTGCCTAAAGTGAGAGTCACTCCTGCTCGAGCTTTCTTACATACCGGAGTTGATTTTGCCGGCCCATTTCAGATAAGCATGTCCAAAGGAAGAGGCATTAGAACTCAAAAGGCGTACATTTGCGTATTCATATGCATGTCAACCAAGGCAATACACCTTGAGCTGGTAAGCGATTTAACCTCAGAAGCCTTCATCGCTGCATTCAAGCGGTTTGTTGCAAGAAGAGGAAAATGTAGCGATATATGGAGTGACCAGGGACGAAACTTTGTTGGTGCCAACAAAGAGCTGATGGCTGCATGGAAAGAAGCAAATCTGGTCTTCGAAGGTGTAATATCAAACACACTGGCAATGGAAGGAACGCAATGGCATTACATACCAGCGTACTCACCGAACTTTGGTGGTTTGTGGGAAGCAGGTGTAAAGTCGGTCAAACATCATTTGAAACGCGTTCTCTCCACCAACCTCACGTACGAAGAAATGATTACCGTGCTGTGCCAGATAGAGGCCTGTCTCAATTCCAGACCGCTGTGTCCTATCGACGACAAAGATCCAGACTGCATAGAAGTACTTACACCTGGACACTTCCTTATTGGTGAAGCTCCTATCGTTGTACCGTCGCCTGACTTCAAAGACGCAAAGATGCATTCCCTTTCCCGGTGGCAGTACACACAAAAGTTGCTAGGTGATTTCTGGCGACGTTGGCAACAAGAATACTTAACAAGATTACAACAACGTCCCATTTGGTTAAAGAAAATAGAAGAGTTCAAGGTCGGTGATGTTGTTTTAATAAAGACCGACGGATTACCACCAGGAAAGTATTCCCTGGGTCGTGTTATAGAGAAACACCCCGGAGAGGACGGCGTTACCAGAGTCTACAGTATAAAAAGCGGCAACAGCATAGTGAAGAGATGTTGTTCAAAGTTATGCGCATTACCTATTGATTTTGAATAAATGTTTAGTGTGAATTTTACATATAAGATATATGTATTAGGCTAAGATGTTTTTTTTTATGTTTAGAAAAGAACTACGTCCTTTTGGTGGGCGGCATGTTGTATTTATATTGTAACTACTACTATATCGTAACTATACATGTGTTTGTGACGCGCGCCGCATCCCCCCACCTCAGTTCAGTCGCAAATAAACAGTCTTCAAGCAAACACGCATTTTAATTCATATAATTCCTGCTAAGCAAATAGTAACCTTAATACCATAAACAGCACGGAAATATTCACTTCACACATCAACAGCCTATAAATGCCCACTGCTGAGCAAAGCCTCTTCTCACACGGAGAATGTTTGAGCATTAATCACCACGCTTGCTCAATGCGGGTTGGCAATTTCAAACTTATAATTAGAAATTATAAGCCCAGGTTTCCTCACGATGTTTTCCTTCACCGTTTGCCAGTGATGTCTAAATAATGTTAGAAAGTACATATAACTCGGAAAAAGTCACATTGGTAGTTGCCGTTGGTAGGTTTCGAACCGCACCCTCATGCATGAGAAGCAGGCGTCTTAAACCACCGGGCCACCACGGAGATATTCGTAAAATAAGAATTCGTAACGTAATTGAAAATTACATTGTAAATATGCTCCTTTGCTCCTCCGAGCAACAAAAGGCTATTTTACGCTAATATATAACATGGTTATTCTCCACGCAACGAAAAAAAACATGATGAAAAACAAGAAAAGACTGCACGGTTGGTGCGGTGGCTGGGCAACTGGCTGCCGTGCATCGTGCCACAGGTTCAATTCCCACACGGAAGAACACTTTGTGTGATCCACAAATTGTTGTTTCTGGTCTGCGTGTCATTGTGTATGTGAACTTGTATGTTTGTAAACGCACCCACGTTACAGGAGAAAATCCTAGTGTAGGGCAAGGGGCAACGGTTATACATAATAAAAAAGAATAGAAAAGGATAGCATAATATAACATCACGCCTATAATCCCCGAAGAGGTAGACAGAGGTGCACAAGGCCCTTAATGCCACTGTACAATGTAACTTTTCTCTATTTATGTTATGATACCCATGTAATAGGGGTTGAGGCACAACCAAACAACGTGCTACTACTGAGATTTATAAAAACCCACTAATACTTTGCCCGACCCGAGAATCGAACCCGAGACCCTTTGCCCGACAGTCGCACTTGTGATCACTCGGCCAATGAGGCAGTAAAAAAAGTATAGGTAGGTTACTATACTGTTTTAGGATTAAAGCCGTATCGCAATACTATTGTCGGAATACTGAAACGCTACTCAATTTTAAGTCGTGCTTAAGTATAGTTCTATCTCTACGAATTCTTTTCAAAATGACAGAGATGGCACGATATTTGAGCACGACTTAAAATTAAGTAACGTTTCAATATTCCGGCATATATATCGGTTTGTCGCGGTGAACCTAACGGGTTACCGCCTACCGGGGCTCCGGCTCGACGTGCAGGAGAAGGAACGGGGTGGTTTTTAGTCATTAAGAGTCTGACACTCCCTCCCGCCTCACCCAGGCGGGTGCATCAATCGATGATTAATGCCTTAAAAAATACTATATCTGTTTATTTGAATACCAGTAACACACGCCTACTGATTGATAACACAGCTTTTATGAAAGCTTGGAGTTGGAAAGCTTCTGTATACAGGTATCTATTGTAATCTTAATCCATGCACTGACAGCTAATGTAATTGAATTATGAAGCTTATTGCTTATATTGAAGCGTGACATGATATGTTACAATGTATTAGGAAGCTATTTTGGTAGCAATGGGGGTATTTTGGGAGATACCGGTTGGTGCGGTGGCTGGGCAACCGGCTGCCGTGCAACGTGTCGCGGGTTGGATTCCCGCACGGAACAACACTTTGTGTGATCCACAAATTGTTGTTTCGGGTCTGGGTGTCATGTGTATGTGAACTTGTATGTTTATAAACGCACCCACGACACAGGAGATAATCCTAATGTGGGGCAACGTTTTATATTACAAATAAATACTGATAGTAATAATAGAATAGGCTCAAAGATTAAACTTTTGGAGTAAATAGCGTTTGGATTTTTTGATGTTGATAAATCGCGACTTCTTCCCCGTGGAATAATGACTTCTGGCAGAATTTAGGCTTTTAAATTAGTCTTTATCAAGAGATATTCTACGGTAACGAATGTCGTCAGAATTGATACAGTACCTAGTGTAGGGCTCCTCCCCTGTAGATGATAGCGTGATAATATGTAGCCTATATGTTGACCCGACTTATCAGTAATATTCATGCAAAATTTGAAGTAAATCAATGCAGTAGTTTTTGAGATCATCTCGGACATACATACAGACAAACAGACAAAAATTCTAAATCAAATTTTTGCTTCAGTATTCACACATAACATAACATCACGCCTTTTATCCCCGAAGGGGTAGGCAGAGGTGTACATTATGCCACTGCACAATGTAACACCCACTTTTCACTATTAATATTATGAGTCCCATGAAATAAGGGGTGAGCCTATTGCCATATACCGGGCACAATTCCAGACTCCGTGCTACTACTGAGATTTTTTTAAAAACCCAGTAGTACTTTGCCTGACCCGGGAATGGAACCCGAGACCCCTTGTCTGGCAGTCGCACTTGCGACCACTCGGCCAACGATGCAGCCTCAGTATTCAATGTACAATTTTGACTTTTCTACGATTTCAACATATGTATTATATATTATATATGTATTATGTATATATAGAATAGATAAAGTTAGTTAACCCGTGGATAACTAACCACAGATCCCTTGCCCGGCAGTGGCACTAGCGACCACTCGGCCAACGAGCCAGTCATATACGTGTTTGTTTCGTGTCGTGATATTTATTCTAACAAAAAATGCTTACGAAATTACTTAGAACAGTGTAGGTTTGATAAGCAGTACATGCCTGTCCCCTTATGGTACCCCTCGTCATATATTTTATCTTTGTAGGAAGCTGGCTATTAAAATAATGGCCGCTGTAAAGGCTGGCGCCTAACTGCCGTTTGAAGACCAAAGGATTAACGTGATTTTATACCCAAATTAACAAAGATTTAAGGTTTATTTTTAAGTAGTTTTATATACATTCTAGCTAGTAATGCATAGCATATAGCATTTATAACTAGTAAAAAGGCCCTGAGTCTACGCTTTAGGGTCGATTTTCCAATAATGAGTTAATTCTTAACTGTTTATATAATTATACTGACCATTGAAAAATCGGCTCTAATAGTAAAATAAAAAAGTTAAATAGTTAAATTGCCTCCACATTCGTAGCAGAGACAACACATAAGTCCACAAACGTCAAAAGTTCCCGCCATATATAAATGACAGTTTCTAACTGTCAGTTTCGATTCGTGAAAAGTTTATGAGAGACAAGAATAGAGTTTTATCATTGGCTGTATATCTATCGATCTGTGCCGACCGACCCACTGACCGTATTGTGTTTGACAGCTGTCTGCTCCATAGATATGGACAATATGTCTTGGGGGCTTAGGGAGATTGGGACAAAAGGTGCCTTATTATAATGCCCCCCTATTATGGGACTCATTTAGCTAACTGAATGAAAAAAACGAGGCACTTATATCGCAAATAAACGTTTCTTTTTCCATGAAATGAGGTGTTTTAAAACAGAATTTTAGCTATAGATGAGATAAGAATTACCGAATATAAATTATTATGTTTTCGGCTTACTCACGTAATTATTTGACGAGGAACTCGACTAGTTTCAAGCCATGCTAGTAGATCCTTGTCATATAATCACGTGAGTAAGCCGAAAATATAATATTTTTTTGAGTATGTATCACGAAAGTTATAATACAACTACCGAATACTTGAAAAACCCTAATAATACTTTGCTCGACCCCGGGAATCGTAGCTGACATCCCTTACCTTACTATACGTTCACGCTTAAGTCTAACCGCTCACCATCAGGTGGGAGGTGTGGTTTTTGCCAACGTCGTGGTATAATAAAGACGCTTGCGACCATTTGACCAACAAGGCAATAATGAATCTTGATTAAACTGTCAAACACCAAGCGGTCACCGGTGACCGCAACCTATTGTTCTATAATTGTGTCTATAATGACGGTACTCGACGAGTTAAATCGTTTTACACCATTAATCTTTCTACGCCAACTTAGGCCAGGTGTACACTGTATGTACCTACCAAATCTCCCCTTTCCCTAGTCTACTTTCATTCCTTAACAATTGTAAATTATTGAAAAGAAACTGGTTTTGTTGTGAAAGTGAATGGCTATAGTAGTTTTTGCAAACGAAAATTTCCAATTCCTGTTATGCATCAGAATGAATATCGGGGAACAAATAAGTATTGTGCGTTACTCTTTTTTTCATGGCCATACCTATTAAAGTTTTACATCATTATAAACAACCCGTTACTGTCCAATGCTGAACTATGAACCTCCTCAATGATATATATATATTTCATATATTATTAATGGATATTAATAATATTAATACATATGAGGAGTTGTCATAATCTCTTTACTCGACAGGCATTTGTTAATCGCGGTCCATCAGTTTGCTTTACGACCGAACGAGACCGCGTTCGGCGCTCTGATTGGCCGGCTGCAATGAACCAACCAATCAGTGCACTGTACGCGGTCTCTGCCAAATGTGCAGGTTCTTAATAGGTTCTTTCGATACCTGCTAAAAGAGCAAAACGGCTTTTCTCTTATAGAAATAAACAGAACGTTTTAATTTAATTTGCATGGTTTCACAATGTAAAAGTAGGATTCATAAAAAACGGTAAATAAAATAAAATAAGCACAGATAGTAAAAGAAAAATGTAACCACAATAGATCCGCCATCTTTACTGCGGCACGCTACAACATTGTTACAGCGTCTCTCAATACATTTTAAAACCAAAAGGTATATAACTTTGCACTTCGCTACGTACGTGCAAAGTTTTGTAATTTTCACACGTTACCTACGATCGGATGTATCCGTTTGTTACACGATATATAGTGGTTTTTCTCCTTGAACTGCTTAGATTGGAAATAAGTAGGGATTTCTTACATTCCTTTTTAATCGAATGTGCTTCAGGGAAGGACTTGGAAAAGAACTTAGATTATCTATCTACTTTGTAATTTAACTTTTTCGTAGTTTGCTTTATGTAGATCTATACGATTCTATCTGTCGCGGAGAACCTAACGGGTAACCGAGGCTCCGGCTCGACGTGCAGGAGAAGGAACGGGGTGGTTTTTAGT